AATTATGCTGCCAGCTTTAAAATAAAGCCGACGATCTAATTATAGACATGAAAAATCAGAAAGCTGTTATTGTGCTGGCAACTCCAATAAGCCCAAATAAAAAGCTGTGAAAATTTTTCTCACTGGCATTCAAGACAGTAAGTAATCTAAATTGTAAGCTCATATACATTTTCCTCCATGAAATTCAATAAAGTCTTTTCAATTCAAATGCAGCCTCTAAGTGTTTTTGTTATTCCGGACTTGACTCTTATGCAACAAAGCTAGCTTATCACTAATCTAAAGATTCTGATGAAGGAAGATGAAAAAGGAGTCCGGGACATCTTTATAGAAAAGTGAATCTCCATATTTGACTGAACTCCAAATCAACTAATTTGGGTACCCGAGTCTCTGTTTTAACTGGCACTGTTCTTCTGGTTGAAGGTATAACTGTTTTCAAAAGGGTATTAATATCATAGTGTTGTTCTATTCCATAGGAAAGGTAGCAAGAGCTGAAAGAAGCCCACCAAACATTTTAAAAAACACAAGTGAAGACATTCTCCTCTGATTTTATCTCCTAATAGCTCGGGTTGCAGCAAAACACACTGATGTTAATTTCTCAAAATGCATGCAAACATACTCAAACATTTTACTAAAATGCCGAACAAGTCATAGAGCAACTGAAAAATAAAATCTGGCAGGTTCTGCCCTTTCTTTTGGGGTTATAAGTACCAAGTGGTCTGATTCATCTTCAAGAAGCCGTTGGTTTCTAACACGGGGGTTTATACCTACGAGGCACACAGGAAAGGAGACTTGTAGGAGAGAATAGAAAGGTTTGCTGGATTTGTGACAGTCACTTGATCACCCTTGCCCCTCTGTGCCAATGATGGCACTTGTGTTCTGGGAAACGAAATGCTCATGCTACAATGTGGTATATCGCGTAATTTCAATAGTTCATTGAATTCAACTGAAACAAGGCCTAGCCAGTAAATTATTGCAAATGAGAGTTTTTTTTTTTTAATTTTTTTTTCAACGTTTATTTATTTTTGGGACAGAGAGAGACAGAGCATGAACGGGGCAGGGGCAGAGAGAGAGGGAGACACAGAATCGGAAACAGGCTCCAGGCTCTGAGCCATCAGCCCAGAGCCTGACGCGGGGCTCGAACTCGCGGACCGCGAGATCGTGACCTGGCTGAAGTTGGACGCTTAACCGACTGCGCCACCCAGGCGCCCCGCAAATGAGAGTTTTTTAAAGGCAGGAAATGACAGATTTATGATGTTATGGCCATGCTGACTAGATTTTCTTAATGGAGTAGTATTAGGAAAAGAAATCTTATATACAAAATAACAACTCTTGGCTAATATTTTAGTCTAACCAGAAATCCTGCGGTGATTCTCTCCCCCCACCTCGATACTCATTTTCTTTTCTAAATGTTTCTTAAATAAAGCTCACACTACCCTGCCTCATTCTTTACTTCTTCCTTCTATATCACCACTCCTTCCACACTGCCCACCCAGATCCACTCATCTTTCATAAACTAGCTCACATTCCACCTTCTCCTTGAAGCCTTTCTAGATTAATGCAGTCCCCAAGGATCTCCTTCTCATCTGACTTTAGTGTCATGAATTAATGGTAAGTCATAATGTCTTGCCTTTCTCAAGGCAGTTCTGCCTTTCAGAATATTGTGTAAATGCTTGTGTATCAGATCTCCTGTTGACTCTTGGGGTCTGACAAACGGGAAGCATCTCTTCTTTGTGTCACTTAAAGCACTGGCTTTTGGACTTTTTGGAACATGATGCATAATAAGATATACAATCTACATCATAGTCGGATGTGTATATATACATATAAACATATATTTAATCAAAAAGTTCCATGAACTATACTTACTTACCCTTCTATTCTGTTTTACTCTACTTCATTTTTTGAAAATAAAAATGCCATCAGACCCAGTAAACTGACTTCACAATGGGTTGTGACCAGTTCTAGAAGGGCACTTATTGATTGCCATGGGGTTGCTATCTATATACATTTCCCTCACTTAAGACATAATTTAAGAATTGTGTGAGACCTTTTGGCTCTCTTTAGTACATGTTTCTGAGTTACTTTTTTTTTTCATCCACTTTTTCAAACCATCATACTTTTGCCTTTTGGGTCATTGGGGACAATTAATCCCTGGCATATACAGTACTTTCCATCTTTTTGCCCTGAGCACTGTTGTCATAAAAATAAGATCCCCTGCCTCCTATAAAACTCCAATCTCCGTTCTCTCATTCCCTTTTATTCTCACAATAGGCAAAGTAGGGGGTAGACATTTCATGGATGAAGAAATTGAGACATAGAGGATTATGACTTTTTCAAGGGTACGTCTCCTTTTTAATCAGGTTATTACAAATTAGCGAATAGGGGGGCATCTGGGTGGCTCAGTCGGTTAAGCATCTCACTTCGGCTCAGGTCATGATCTCGTGGTTTGTGAGTTCGAGCCCTGCGTCGGGCTCTGTGCTGACACCTTGGAGCCTGGAACCTGCTTCAGATTCTATGTCCCCCTCTTTCTCTCTGCTCCTCCCCCGCTCACGCTCTGTCTCTCAATAATAAATAAACGTTAAAAAAAAATTAGTGAATAGTGTTTCTAGATATTTGAAGGGTATAACATTGGGTGATGTGAACAACATAGAGCCTCCCTGGATATGCACGTACCTAACTTACCCAGGTCAAACAGTTTACAGTCATGACCAGATGAGTTAGTGGCCCTGCCAGACTTCAGTGTGAGGGTGGGTCTGCTTCCTTTCACACTCATCTTTCCGTCTCCATCTTCTCTCAGTTTTTCACCCACCCAGAGCTACCTGTTATTCCTGGGCCTCTTCATGTTTTGGCCCCTGTACCAGGACTGCTCCTCTCTCTCCTCTTTACCAAACTAGTTCCTCTTGTTCTTCAGGTCTCTGCACACAGTCCTCGTCCTCTCTACCTCCACGACCTGACTTCCGCAGCATGGTCTACAGGCCCTGTCAGAGCACTGAACCAGGTGGTACTCACTCCCTGCCCAGTTCTGCCAGCAGAGGCTGTGTCTCGCTCAGTCTTCTATTCCACAGAGGAGGACCATGGTGAGTTCTAGATAAACAAGGTTGATTGCATGAATGAATCAATGAATGAGTGCACAGAGGGCAGAAATTGCTAGCACTGAAAGAACTTACGCGTGAGCTGGGGCTGGAACTGTGTGTCCTGACTCCCAATCTTTTATGATTTTGGATTCCATGATGGACATTTTAATGCTTCCCCATAAGTTGTAGGTTTTTTGACTGGGAATTCATACAGTGAAGGAGACCTATATCTCATAAGTATATTTGAGGCACACTCAAGAAAATGTTGCAGGGACAAATAATTAAGGCAAGTGTATTGAGGCAATTAAAAAATACCCAAATTTCAAAATGGCTTGTTGGACCTCACCCCGACCTCCAGTTGAGACTGATCCGATTCAGGTCATGTTTCAGGCCTCCACTTCCCATATGAAGCCATGCTTTTTTTTTTTTTTTTTCCCTCATCATTTTCATAAAAGTCTAGTTAATGATTAGGTGAAGCCTCACCACACCACAACACACTGTACGTGGCTCAGCGTGAGTTCCTCTGCTCTGTTTCCAAAATAAATCCCAGTGATATAACATCTAGACTTGCAATGGCGATTACTACTCTTTTTTCCTGTTTGTGAATCAACAACCCATTTCCTCCCCCCTCCCCCAACACATAAAAACTTAAAAAGTGCTCTTGGTGATTCTATTTAAAGAACATTCTCTAATACAAACTCCTGTCATTCGCAGATAGCAACAGAGCAGATTTTCTTCTTTATGCTGTGACTCATGTGTCTTTATTCCCAGGCTCAGGGCAGGCCAATGGTGAACACAATGGAAAAGAAAGAATAGTTTATAACTGGAAAATAAGCACATTCAAGAGAAGTACACTCAAAGCATTATCAAAGTAAAATATGCAGCAGCACCAACAAGAGCAAACAAAAGCCCACGCAAGAGATGTGTAAATATTTCATGAGACTAAGCCTTAATCAACTCTCTCCCCAAATCTTGCTGGGGTTGTAAACACTTCAGTTTCTTTCAGTCCCATCATGACCCAGATTCCCCGCAAAAATAAAATGAAGACACGGACTGATGGTTCTTTCACAAATGTGTTGTGAAAAATATTGCGATGGAGCATATCCAGGTTTGCTTTAACAGGAAGATCCCCTTAATAAAAGGTGCTTGCTTCTCGGTGACTCCCCTCCTCCAACCCTTGCCTTTTCCCCACCGCCTCTGCTGCTTTCTGGACATTCACATCATCTTAACCTTGAACTGCCTACGCTCCAAGCAGAGATTTCTCCCACTGCTTCTCCAGGAGGCCCTTCAAACCCGACGGCTGTCTGCTGCCTTCCCACCACCCAAAATTCACTTCCCAGGGTCCAAGAACCCCTCTTCCCCTGCACCTCCTCTTTTATAGTCCACTGTCGTGTCTGAAATTTTGCATCTATCTTTTAGATCTGCCTGGATAGCGTGAAAATCTGTTGTGTGTATATCGGCTGGCAGTGTTCTTCAGATTTTTCCGTAAGATCCATCTCTGCAGAACCTTTATAGCCTCTAGTCTCTACCCTGACTTAATGTGGTTCCAAAGTTCACCTCTACATACCGAACAGGTCTCTACAATGATTTCCCTTTATCAACCTCTGCTTCCCCTCCTTCTCTCTCCACCTCTCTCAAGATAAACTATATATGCAAGTGTGTATGTGGATAAACACACACATACATGTATATACACACACATATGAAATATATGAAAACTACAGTGTTTTGACTCTAAAGAAAATAGACATGGGAAAATGAGAAAAATACAAGTATAGTATTGCCAAACACACACACACACACACACACACACACACACACACACACCCCCCTATTTGGATATTCACAGTGTGCAGACCTGATGGATTATAATCCCCACGCCTCCCAGCCCAAGAACGAGAACAGCAGGCTTCGTCTCCCATTTACCTTCAAAGCCAGAGCCTAAGGGAGCAATGACCTTGCAGAGAAATTCATCACCTGCGAGAAAGACGGCCCCTCCTGGAGCGCAGGACGGGATGGGGACAAGAGCAACAGGCAAACGATCAGCGGGCAAAATGTGGGACCGAATCCATACCCCCGGCGGTACCGAGCACACCACAAAGCTCCGGTCTCCCGGGCTGGACGCCGGGCAGAGGTGGCGCAGGGGGGCGTCTCCTCCCGCGGCCGCCGGTCGCCTACCTGCTCTCGCTGGGCTCTCCCCGGCGCCGCGGGGCCGCTGCCTGCGCTGTGGCGGGGGTTTCCCGTCGCATATCCCAAGCGGCGGCTCTCGGCGCCACACGGATAGCTCCGGCGGGCTCCGGAGCGGCGGTCCTTTTTCGCCCCGTTCCGGGAGCTAGCTGGGTGCTCGCAGGAACTGAAATTACTATGCAAAGAGCAGAGGCGGCGCGCAGGAGCCGGGCGGAGACCGCGGGGGCCGCCCCCACCGCGGGGCTGCAGCCGCCGCCGCCCGGCACGGAGCCAAATTGGAGGTGGGAGTTCACGTGCCCGACTGCTCCTCCGTCAGGCCCGGGATGCGCCCACCTGTCCACGGAGGGCAGCGCCGCCGGGCCGGAGCATCCGGGGAAGGGGCTGCGGCTTCGCAGGCAGCGGCGGCGGTGGCGGCGGCAGCAGGGCGCCGAGCTCCGCCCCCGCCGCACCCCAGCCCAGCCTTCCAGGTCCCCCGGGAAGGGTTTGCAGCGGCTACTTGCCGCGCGGCAGGGGGGTGGGGGGGTGGGTAGCGGGGCAGGGGCTGGAGGGTCAGCGTTCTGCTGCAAGGTGACCAGCGGCAGGTGGAAAGTTAAGGAGACTAAGGTAGAGGACTAGGGCCCAGAGCGACTGGGCAGGAATTCTGGCCCTTGCTCCTTCCCACAGGTCACCAGACTCCATGTATGTGTCTAGACTCTAGCAGACGGTTTCTAATAAAGCCACGTGCAGCGAAAATCTGAGAACAAGGAACTCCCCGACGTTTCACATGTGTTGAAAAACGGACAGTATCCTGCGTATTTGGAGATGGCATTGCTGACGGTTTTCTTGTCCTTCTTCCCTCTCCCCCACCCCCACTGATGGGCGTGGATGGCTTTGAAAATCGTCCCTGCCAAGTGGCTCCAGTAGTACTATATGGATGTGTAGTATGGTTAACAGCTAGAGATGCTGCAAATGATACAAGGAAAATAACTGCTATTAACTGAATGTTGTTGGCAGGCACTATGTAAAAGGCCTTATATGTGCCTTCTCTGATTTCCACAGCAACTCAGGGGGGTGGGTATTGTTCTCCACTGTATAGGCAAGAAAACAGGCTTCCGTGATTTAGACACTTTGGTTGAGCCACACTTTAGTAACCTGCACAACCGGGATTCAACCCACTCCGAAATATGTCCTCTGAACTAGTACACAGGACTCACCCAAGGATCTTGTTGTAATGAAGATTCTGATTATGTAGGTCTTATGTGGGCATTGCTAAGAAGCTCACAGTGATGTCCATGCTGTTGGCCAAGGAACCAAACTTTCTAACCTACTAGACCAGGGATTTGAATTAAATTATTTCACTCTAGCTCTAGTTGGTTGATAACACTTTTTTAAAATTCTTTTTATTTATTTATTTATTATTTTTTTTTTTTAATTTTTTTTTCAACGTTTATTTATTTTTGGGACAGAGAGAGACAGAGCATGAACGGGCAAGGGGCAGAGAGAGAGGGAGACACAGAATCGGAAACAGGCTCCAGGCTCTGAGTCATCAGCCCAGAGCCCGACTCGGGGCTCGAACTCACGGACCGCGAGATCATGACCTGGCTGAAGTCGGACGCTTAACCGACTGCGCCACCCAGGCGCCCCTCTTTTTTATTTTTGAGACAGAGTGCGACAGAGCACAAGCAGGGGAGGGGCAGAGAGAGAGGGAGACACAGAATCCGCAACAGGCACCAGGCTCTGAGCTGTCAGCACAGAGCCCGACATAGGGCTCGAACCCAAGGACCGTGAAATCATGACCTGAGCTGAAGTCAGATGCCTAAACGACTGAGCCACCCAGGCGCCCCATAGCAACTCTCTGAAGGTGGGTTAAGAAGGACTCTATGGTTGTGTCTTGGCTCCTGGTCAGAGAATACTGTAATCAGTTCATCATGTTCAATTTGGTTGTGGAGAGATGGTTGTGACAATGTGCTGGGTGGCTGTCCCCTTCCAAAACAACAGGGGTGGCTATGGTATAATATTGAAGGCGTTGGTGCACCAAGGACAGATATCTTCATTCCAGTTCTCACCCTCATTAAGAAAAGCTTAAAGTTTTACACCTGACGTATGTAACACAAAATACTTTACAAAGCGTGCACATAAATAATTTTATCTGTCTTTATAACAACACTGTAAGGCAAGAATAATTTCATGTTACAGGAAAGAAAACTGAGGTGGACTGAGTTTCCTGAGGTTAACAATTAATATGCAGGCAGTAGTGGCTAGACTGTGACAGATCTCTAATTCAAGGTTGTTTTTACTATACCACGTGGGTAGTTCCTACTGATGCTGTAACAAATTACCACAAATTCAGTAGCTTGATATAACACAAATGTATTAGCTTACAGTTCTGGAAATTGAAAGTCTGAAAATAGGTCTTACAGGGCTAAAATCAAAGGACCAGCAGGGCTATGCATTCCTTCTGGAGTCTCTGAGGGGATAATCTTTTCCTTCCTTATTGGTCCCAGCTTCTGGAGACAGCCTATATTCCCTGGTTTGTGACCATTGTGATTACCTTGGGTACACCCAGATAATCCAGAAGAATCTCTCCATTTCTAGATCCTTAACTTAATCACATCCATGAAGGGCCTTTTATCATGTAAGGTAACATATTCATAGGTCCCAGAGATTAGGATGTAGATATTTTTGGAGGATTATTATTATGCTTACTGAAACCTTGATTGGTACTTATCTTAACAGTTTCTACCATACCTTATTGGTCTGAATGACACTGAGGTAATACTTAGGGGAAGTCCTAACCGCTGTTAAAGGCCCTCTTTAACAATACAGAATTTTTCAAAATTCTGCTTCTCAAATATCTGCTTCTAGGATAAATAATGCAATTCAAAACTCAGACAAAATCGAGTGTAACTTCAATTCCAAACCAAGTGATGGTTTTTGAAGTGATGAGAAACAGTAAACCATTATGTCAAACAAAATCAATAAAAATTATTGAACACCTTTTATGCTCAAGACGTTTATAGAAAAACTCTGATATAGAGAAGTTTATCATTTTATTGGGGCACAGAATTTCTGAAAAGTGAAATAATAAAGGATTTAAACAGAAGAAATAATAGGAGAAGGAACATGAGATGGTATATGATTAATTGCCAAGTGAATTAGATAAATCTGGAAGTTAGACTTATACTGGAGAGTAGATACAAAACTGGAAAGGTAGGTTGGAAAGGTTGTGTTGCTTAGGATCTTAAATGTCAAACTAAGGAGTTTAGACTTCCCCTGCAATAATAACACTGATAATAACACCTTATGTTCACATAGAATAATTTACCAAGCACTTTTTACATATTTTCAGTCACTTGACTTCCTCCCATAAGCCCCCAGAAAAGCAGGCCTGTGCATGCGCATGCAACACACAAGGAAGGAAATGCAAGTCTCTTATCAAAGTGGTGTTCTTGACCATTCTATGTAAAATTGCAGCTCCCCTTCCCACTTACATGCTGCCTCCTTACCCCTGCTCTATGTTTTTCCATTGGGCCCACTACTGCATCTTGATAGAGTATATATTTGTTTATTGATATCTACTGTTTATGAGGGCAGGGACTTCATCTCTAGTTCACTGCTATATCCTTATCGCCTAAAATAGTGTCCAACACTTATTAAGTGCTCAGGAAATATTGTCGGATGGATCATTATCTCCAATTTAGAAATCAGGAACGAAAATCCCAGATGTTTAAGTGACCTTCATGATGTCCAACAGCTAAAAGTGCCTTTACCAAGACTGAAGCCCAATGTCTGGCCCGGTGCTTTTTTTTTGATAGACTATTCCCTTTCTGAGTGAAAGCTGTTAGTCATGTTTAAACAGGAGCAGCAATGTATTTTAAAAAGATAAGAATTTGAGAGTAGAATCCTCTCTAAATGTCACATCTTTCCTAAAAGCTTCATCCATCTAGCTGGATTGGCAAGAAACATTGGCAGGACAGAGTTACCAACAGTGAATTCTGGAGGGCTGCCGTCAATTCCATGTTAGTTAGCACTACTAATACTGTAAGTTGTTTTGTAAGTGTTAATTCATGTGCACATGTCTTGACACTCTGGATTATAGGCTTTTGGTCTCAGGGACTATAACTTCTATTTCTTTTATTTATTTATTAGACAATCTTTTTTTAATGTTTATTTTTGATAGAGAGACAGAGCACGTGTGGGGGAGGGAAAGAGAGAGAGGGAGACACAGAATATGAAGTAGGCTCCAGGCTCTGAGCTGTCAGCAAAGAGACCAATGTGGGGCTCAAACCCATAAACCATGAGATCATGACCTGAGCTGAAATCAGACACTTAACCGACTCAGCCACCCAGGCACCCTTATTTCTTTTATATCCCTGCATTCTGCCCAGTACCGGGTTCTAAATAGACTTACCACTGCATGGTTACAAGAAGGCTGCCATCACTACAAAAATTATTTTATTACAGGGCACCTGGGTGGCTCAGTATCTTAAGCATCCGACTCTTCATCTTGGCTCAGGTCATGATCTCACAGGTTTGTCGGACTGAGACCCACATCAAGCTCTGTGCTGACAGTGTGGAACCTGCTTGGGATCCTCTGTCTTCCTCTCCCTCTGCCCCTCCCCTGCTCGTGCGCATGCATGTACTCTCTCTCTAAAAATAACTAAACTAAAAAAAAAAAAAATTCTATCATTACAAACCACATTCAAAACAATGTAGGGGATCTGAATATGCCACTGCAAAATATGCCATTTTGTCATTAAGGATTGTTTTGAGCTGGAGGCAAATAGGAGTCAACAGATGCATAAGAAAGCCTTCTTGGAGCTTTCCTTATCTGACTAAAAGAAAACTTCTGAGAAATGAGGACTGCTATAAGCCCCTTTCCTGGGAAGTCTTGTGGCCATGAAAAAGATGGAGAGCCAGCCCCAAGATGGGTCTGCGAACCAATCTTACTAAAATAACCCTTGGCTTTCATTAGGTTCCCCTCATACATTTA